TCTACATTGAGGATGCAGTACGGCAACGCAAAGGAAGATGAGGGCCGATTCTCAACAGTACTCGCCACAAAGAGTGCTCTCGCTTCGAGTATCTGGCCCCGCTGACAAAGCATGACGCATCTGCAATGTCGACCAGAAAAAGAACTTATACTCTGTATATCTGCGCGGGTTTTGCCGCACGTAGTATGTACCTGCACCCATGTGTAAATGTACATGTGTACGTACGTATTACAACGTAAGTACTTTACAAAGTTGTCATTGGCACGCAGAGTGCACTAGAGGTTCCTTCGCATGCCCACGAGCTACTAGATGCGCAACATGCAGACGTGCATGGAAAAAGTTCCATGATGTCTTTTCACCACGAGCCCTTTCTGCACACTACATCTCTGCTGCTTTGTGAGCCCGTCTTGATGTGCGTACGAAATACATGCGTAGACGTGTAGGGCTTAGCGACATGTGCAGCCAATCAAATGCCCCCATCTTGTTCCACACGTCTGGTCCATCGCATCCCGCCGGAGATTTCCCCGCCGCATCGCCAAGGCGCTCCAATCTTTGGTGTCCCCTCCCTTTCCACCCTTCATTTCTCCACCCCCTCTACGTTGTGGTAAGTAAGTTGCCGGACTGCTCTTAGCGACCTCCAGCCGCACTGGGAAAGCCCAAACGAAGAACAAAATCAGCACACCGCAAATGTGACAGCCGCGGCAAGCGGTCTATCCCGTACATGCGTTCTGCTACTGTTTCCAGCCAGCCGCGTCTAAACCGTCGCGAACCGTGATTATTTCGGTATACCGCGCCCCACTCGCACGCCAGCCAAAGTGAAAACCACACATCATAATGCAATCCGGCAACCCGACCCATGTGCGACATCACATCACACTCTTGCACCATCCGAACACGGCAACCCGATCGTTGCGACAATGTGCAAAGCAAGACAAAGCCGCGTACAATCAGGTGGGCGGATGGCGACCAGTTGGGTCGGTCAATTATTGCCAGCTGCCCTTGTTCCTGTTGCTCATGGGCTAGTCGGACCTCTCTCCGACGCCATGTCATTGGTCGAACAGCGCAACAGTACTCTCCGGTGAGTGCATAGCTTTGGACCCTGGAGAGGTGATGATATTATCCACTATTGAAACGCGGGCGTCATTGCGACGCGTGACGTCTTTGCGGCCAATACTTACTCGACGAGGCTGGGCGAAGGCGGTCTTAACAAAAGCTACGTTCAGTATACGGTAAGTCCAACACTCGTACGAGTATTGGCGATTCAGCTGGGGGTCCGCTGGGTCCCATTGGTGATCTGTCCGAACAAAGTCATCTGCTTCAGAGTTTGGAGTACTAAACAGTCAGCCTTGGATTATTCCGAAATGCACCCTGTTAGTCGCGTAGATCATGCTAGGAGGGCCGGGGATCTAACGCCGAGATAAGGGATATGGCGTCTCCTTAGCACTCGCAAAAACATGCCATTTCAACTGACTCGAATCGGCTGCAAGAGCATGCACTCCGGGTCGTCGTCTTTGCAAAATTGCGTGTACTATCTATGTACAAAATAAGATTCCCGGCATAATACGGGTGACAGTGGACTACGGACATTTGCTCCCTACCAATCTTTGATCTGATAAACCTGGATTGTGGCACAGTAACGCGCGAACCGCAGCAACCTAAACCTGAACGGCGAACGTTGGGCAGCGTTCAAACGTGTCGTGGACAATGGCGGGAAGGGGGGGGAGAGCTTTCACTCAGACGTTGCGGAGTATACTCCGCAGATGCTCATGAGCTGGCTCCCCTGTTGGGCACACGGAACGCAGATCAATTCTGGGGCCTTTTCACATTGGACGCCGACTTGAATGCGTCTTCTTGTGCGAACAATTGGTCACCGGTGCGGAAACACAACATTTGCGAAAATCATAAGGTTATCATCATGTAAAATCGTTGCTGCTAATGGCCCACTAGGCTCAGAATGACGACTTGCACATCAAACCATGTTGTGTAAGTAAGATGATTGTTCAGCCCCCGCTATTCCTGGACATGCTTTCTTCTGTGACAAAAGTGGATACATATATACATTACTCACGAGGTTTTCGCTAATTCGCTTCGTGTTCGTGATGGCCAATGAGTTTCACAGCCACTCTAGGCATGTCTGGCCTCACAGCCTCGGAATCATGCCTCCCGCCATCGCATCGACTCCCGTAATCAGACGTGCGGCAACCTGAGAGAACCTGTGGTCACGATCTCCATCCCCATCTGGACACTACTCGTAAGGAGCAAGCCGGTGCGCTCCCAAGACCGAAAGAGAAAGTTTAAACCCATCCACATCGACGTTGGAAGCTTAGATTCGGGGAAAGTGAGGCGCGAAGCGCGTCGCCGTTGATGCGGGCCACCACCAATGTTGCATGGTTGGGGTAGATGACAGCCTCATACGCATGCGGCGGATTGAATGAACGTCTAGACCCCGCCATCAACACATACGCACACCTCAGCCTTTCCGGCGTGGCACTAAGACCTGTTGTATGCAGTCACAATCACGTTGCCAGTCGTCGAATAACATCTCGAAACGATGCCCAGCCGAACAAGGCAAGCCACAAAACATGCTGTGGTCCTCTGCCGCGGCCTTCCGCGCGTTCCCCGTCTTCGCCAATCGAGCATTGTACTCCCTTCACCGATCAGGGTGGCCTTTGTAGCATCGGCTAGAGGCACATCCCGCACGAGATAAATCCGCCATGTAGCATCTCCAGCCGAGATTACGACGGCGACAGCATTGGCAAGATCAGCAACCCCAGCAACACCAGATGTCGGAGAAAGATGGATGTAAAGATGCGCACAATGTATCTAAGATTAAACGCTGTCTTGGATGGGATACTGCATGTTCAGTCGGAGATGCTTCCAGGAAGGTCGGGCCTTTTTTTCTGGTTAGTTCTCGAGATGTTGTTATCTGTGACCGCCTGTTGCTATGCAATCCGTGACACGTTCGTCCGATAATTCTTCGCTCCGAGATGTACATATACACGCACGTACGTTGAGCAACTGGGGTATGGGGTGGATATACGCTCGGTTGGCAGCGTGGCCGGTGCCTCGTGTCGCGATAGGAGGAGACGGCCGTGGCCTTGGTATTTCGGACTTCGAAACTCTGATGGATTCAAGTGTCAGGGTTGGCACATGATTAGATTTGGGGAGAATGTTCTGAACGTGTTCTTTCACGCGTTTGGTCTTGTCTGTGCTTACCCCAATTTCGCGTCATGATCCCTTTTCCTCCCATGTCTCGGCACGGGGTGCGACTCCAATCCGAGGGCTCCATGGGTTGCTTCTATCTGCCTAATTTAACGGGCCGGTAACGACCGTCGCAACGAGCACTCCGAAAGGATCGATATTCCGCAAGGATGATACATTCGGCCCTTTAAAGACCATCTTTCGGCACATGTCCAACGACCTCAAGCCGGAGTCAATCAATAGTGCAAGAGATGGAATTGAGTCCAAATAGTCACATCGTGTTCGTCAGCAACCTTGGAGGCTGTCCAATCATGGCCTTGTTCTATTGTCAGCAGTTCAATTACAACGGCAGTTCTGGACGTGCACCCAGGGCTATCCAATATATCTTGGTTTCGGGTGCACTGGACTACCATTTTCCGTCCCATGGAGACCGTTCGCCAAACGCAAGTCAGATCTCCTCATCGGCCCTTTGTGTCGTAGACCATATTTCCGGATGGTCGGAGCATTGCCATGTCTGCCTGCGTATGTTGCGCCTGCCCCACAGAACGAGACGTTGGATGTCGTGGGGATCGTTGAAGCACTAGGTAAGTATGTTGGTGGGTCTTTGCGTTAACGACGACAGGCGTCAAAATGTCAGATCCACTTTGACGCACGACAAGTTGGTATACCCACTGTTTTGGGGTAGCGCACGGGCTTATCAGACGCTGGAAAGATGCTGAGCTCCAATCTTGTAAACCAATGCTTGATCCTCAAGCATATTGCCAAGGTATCTGAGGGGGTTTGCCTTGGAGCGGTCTGCGAGGTCGTCTAGACAAGACGCGAATACTACACCATACAATATCGCCGCCCAACCCTGAGCGCGGTTGCAAGTATCCTGAAGCCCTGAAAGTATACTACATGCACGAAGTTACATGCCATGTTCGAATCTTACCCAGGCTTTTTTCTTACCGCACCACCCTAGAAAGCGTATGGACCGTATGGACCATGTTACCGACGGGATCAGCGACAACAATGCCAGGATGAATCCGAGTGATGCCCAACGCAGGCGACATAGACGCATACGGATAATCCGCCGGGCATGCTTGAGAACGCGTCAAGGCCTCTTCCTTGTTCTTCATGGATGGGACAGATGGGCTCGGTAGGTGAGCTTTGAATAGAATGGCGCAACGAGTCAAATGTCGTGCAGCGGTGGTCTTGACAGGGCCCACTGTAATAACGCTCGTCATGAAAGCTTGATCAGCGTCTAAGCTGCCTGGTATTAGTGAGTAGTCCGTGTTGTAAGGTGTAGAATTTTTGTCAAAATCAGAAAAAAAAAGTGGTTCCTATTAACGTAATCCATTGCTTTGCAAAGCTTGAAACTGTCGTTGCTACAATACTTGTGATTTGAAGACTGTAGTCCATGAATGGAAACTTGTAGACTTTTACGTATTGGGGAGTCTTGAGCAGGCTGATAAAAGCAAGATGTATGACTAGATATTTTGTATAATTCAAGTGTTCGCTTAGACTAGCATACGAATGGAAGAGCGATGTAAACCAGTGAAGTGAAAACTTATTGCTGCTGTACCGTCCAAGGCAAATTTCAAGTTTGCTTTGCTCACCCTTCACTACTGTCGCCCTTTCCTCCGTTCAAAATTCTTCCTGCATGCCACTATCTATCACTCTCCTTTTCTTCTAAGCTATATTTCATATTCGCCGTATATCCTCTGTGTCATATTTTGATGTTCTTAAACTCTTCAAAAACTGTATATGCAGCCTCGATAACTCATGCTGGAATTCCAGCACCCATTTCTAACACTGGGCTACAACATGTGTAATCTACCTCTTAGACACTCTGCGGGGAATGAATGACAATACCTTGTCACATGTACGGCTGTGAATCTGCGAGCTACGACTGCCTGGCGACTTGCCCAGAAGCACTGTCGCACGAAATTCTGATCACAATGTGCTACCGTCGGCCTATCTCGAGAACTCATAGAAACGAACAAACGTATCTGGCCTATACTAAAGTACCTCTTCCTTCTAAACGATAGTCTTCTCGTTGTACATGTCATAACATCAAAAGGCGGCCTACCTTCACTTGGGAAAACAGCAGAAAAGCGAGGCAGTAGCGACAACGCATCGATACACTCCTGCCCTTCCACGAACTTCACATCCTTACTTCAACCCTCTATACTATCCTCACAGTATCACAGCTCAGCCCTACGGCACAAATTACATGTCTAGGCCTCACTACGTAGAATCCCATCGCCACTACTCCTACTTCGAAGCATCGTTTCCACCACCAAACACTTCCTTCCGACCCATACAAACACGCACTTGGACGCACACCAGCCCGGCGCGAATACCACAGTACAACTACCCACCATACAAGAACGGTTCCAAGAAGGCGGCAGTCAAACACGTACACTTCGACCTGCCTGACTCGCGGCAAAGCACAGTCAAGATAGCCATCGAACAAAGACAACAAGACATGCAACTGCAAACCCCAAAGCAGCAAGAGAGAAACGAACGACCAGCTTTATACCGCCAACCAACCCCATTACCTCACAGACACGAGCAACACACCTCAAGACCGTCCTACCCACCACCCCCATACAATCACCCCAACCACCAGCAGTACCACCAACACCACCACCAACAATTCAACAACACCCTCCCTATCACCCTCCCCCATCCCCGCCCAACAATCTACATAATCTCCTACTCCACAGCCATCACCCGCACCGAATCCGCCACCCTCAGCCTCCTCGCATCCCAAGTCCCTCTCCGGCACCCGCCAATCCCCCACCTCTACACCATCGACGCACGCAACATACAACCTCCTTCCCCCTCCCTCTGCGCCCGCTACTCCGGCCTCGCACCTCTAATCCAAGACATCGTCATGCAAGATTTAGCCGCGCAGAAGGCGGTCGAGACGGCGGTTGGGGAGTTATTGCTGCGGTTTGGAAATGGCGAGCAGAGGGGGAGAGAGGTTAGTATGAGTGTTTGCTGTCGTGCGGGGACGCATCGCAGTGTGGCGATTGCGGAGCGGGTTGCGCAGTGTGTTAAGTGGGAGGTGGGCAGGACGGGGGGTGCGGAGGGGGTTAGGGTTGTGTGTAGGCATGTTCATCGGGTTAAGGGGAGGGGGGATCCTTTTTGAGAGAGAGAGAGAGAGAGGGTTTGTGTTGCTGTTTCTTGTCTTCTTGTCCTTGGTGAATACAATTAGAGTGGTTGGTGATTGTCAGTGACAATAGCTCGTGAGGCTGCTTTGTACATATGGTTAGCGTAGTCATGTATAAGAAAGTCAGTGCTTGGTACTCCTTAATTGATGACATTGAACTCCGGTATTGATTCTTGTTACATGATGACAAAAACATTGCGACATACGCTCACTTTCTAACAATACTGAACCGCGCTCGAAGCTAACCTCCAGTGCTTCGATCCCACATCTTTTCTTTCCTCTTCATATCATAACATTGCACATGCTCGTACACACCTGTCCCTTCTTCTTCTATTTTGAACTCCTTTACGCCGTCTTCTTCTTGCCAATGCTAGTATCGATGCTGCCCAAGACCCATGTAACAGCAAACACAGCAAACATGCCTAGAGTAATGACAATAGGCTTCCTGTATCCCGCAATCCAGGGATAGTCATAAGTGACAATGACATCACGGCCCCTGAACTCATCTACCAAGTTGATAGATGTCAAAGTCAGTGCAGTGCGGCCCAGAGTATCCATAAAGGTCTTGTGTAGCGTGACCTCGTCGGCTACAACAGGAACAGCGGTCGAAAACTTGACATTGGTAGCGCCCTCGGGGAGGATGATGCGTAGGCTGACGCGACCGTAGGAAATGCCCTCGGCAGCGCGGGGGCCCTCGAGGAAAGGAACCTTGAGCACATACGTATCGCCAGTCGAGAGCTTGCGCAGGTACGTGGACAGATCGGCGTTCCAACCAACACGGAAACTGTACTTCCAGGTTCCGAAGATGGGGTACCTGGGCTTCAACTCCAACAATGCCTCCTTGTTGCCAGGGCGGAACCTGGAGGTAGAGACGTTACCGATGTCGTCGGTGAAGTAGGGGTCGACAGATCCAGGAGCCAGAGGGAGGTTAAGACCCTTGACAGCGAAAGTAGGTGGGTTCATGTAAGATTGCCTCTGCCACTCAACGCGCGAAAAGTGGTTCTTGAGTCCGGCGCCCTGGTTCTCGAGCCAGTACCTCTCCTCAAAAGCCAAGTTACCGCCCCAATGCGAGACTTCGACATCGCGCTCCAGGCGCGTGGCGTGCGTCACGGGCTTTGTGAATTCGTAGCGCACGCTTACGGGCTGCTGAGCGCCAGCTGGCACATTGTTGTAAACTCCATATGTGAAGGTGGAGCCCTGTTTCTGTGGGTCGGCCTTGTTCTCGTCATTGAGCTCGGCGGGGAGAGTGGTGTAGTCTGGCACATCGTTGTTGGGGAACTTGACCTTGGTGCGCTGCTTCTCGGTCAGGTAGGCGGAGGGTGCGTATGCGCTAAAGTCGTATTGCAGGTACTGCTTCGCTGTCTGGGGGAGTTGGGCAGGGACCGGCTTGAGGGAGGAGAGAATTGAGTAGGAGATGCTGAGTGTCTGCTGGGCGTTGGGTGCGAGAGGTTCCGGAAGGTGGATCTTGTAGAACTCAACCGAGCTGTTCCAGTTAGTCCCAGTGCTGTGCATACCCATTACACGATCTATACACACCTTTCCGCATCAAAGCCAACAATATCAACCTTAAAGGTGCCCTTCTCAGCCGCCTTCTTGTCCCTCACCTCGAGCCCGCCGACCTTTGACAGCAGGGTTGAGTCGAAGGGGAGATAGTATTCCGACTGCGCCTTTGAATCAATGTTTTGAATAATGACATTGATCGTCTCCCTGGGGTAGGCCTTGTCGAGATTGGTGGTGCGGACTAGATTGGCATTCTTGAATACCTGGGGTGGTGCGAAGGTGCTGGGGAGCACTTGCTTGGACAGCAGTGGTTCGGAGAGGTTTAATTCGGCAGCGGCGAAGGTTGCCAGAGCTGCTATGCAGCTTGCGAGGGAGATGGGCCTCATTGCGAATAGCAGTCAAGCTATCCCGTCATGTGCGAGGTTGGTGTTTGTCGACGGCTCACATGCGGCTATGCTATTGCGTCGTGTTCTCTTCGGAGTTGGCTGGCACCTCCGCGTCTGTGCGTGAACACCCATAGTTCCACCACCCCTCTATGCCTGGCTCCTCCACAAACGCCCCTCGACAACACCACAATGCGCCTGTTGGCAACCTCAATTAGGCGGCCCCGCATAGCCGCCACATCTGCTGTCATAGCTAGAGCATCGGGGAGGCGTCACCTGACCAACAATGGCTTTTTCCGTGTCTCAGATGAGGTGCGAGAAGCACTGAATTCAAACAAGCCCGTAGTCGCCCTGGAGACGACCATCTACACGCACGGTGAGGGCGCATGTTAATGGCACATATGCACGTGACATTAACTAATTGCCTGTGCAGGCTTCCCATACCCTGAAAATGTAGCCCTGGCCTCCCTCCTCGAAAGTGTAGTCCGGACCAACGGTGCCGTCCCGGCCACAATAGGCATTTTGGATGGTGTAGCGCGCGTCGGTTTGGATCCAGAGGAGCTCATAAGACTGGCTTCTTCTGCTGGACAGGCAAATACGCTGAAGCTCTCACGTCGTGACCTCGGCTATGTGTGCGGCACGCGACTCACCAACAAGTCCTTCAATGGTGGCACCACCATATCTGGCACTATGTTGCTGGCACACCTCGCTGGTATCAAGATATTCGGAACAGGCGGCCTTGGTGGTGTCCACCGCGGCGCCGAGTCGAGCATGGACATCTCCGCTGATTTGACGGAACTTGGAAGAACACCAGTCACGGTCGTCTCCAGCGGCTGCAAGAGTTTCCTTGACATACCGCGAACAATCGAGTATCTTGAAACCGAGGGCGTGGGAGTGGGTACATTTGCCGATGGACGCACAGGGAAGGTGGACTTTCCTGCCTTTTGGTCCAGAGACAGCGGAGTCAAGAGCCCGGTGACTATTGCGGATGAGATTGAAGCTGCTGCTGTCATACGTGAGTATCCACTGTCCTCCGATGATCCTTTCTAACGCCAATCAGATGCGCAACACACTCTCCAAATCTCATCCGGCCTCCTTTTTGCCAACCCTGTTCCTACAGAGTTTGCTATACCCAAAGAAGAAATGGACGTGGTTATCGAAGAGGCCTTGCGACAAGCCAACGCTGCAAACATCTCAGGCAAAGACAACACACCGTTTGTACTCGCCAAAATCAAGGAGCTTACCAAGGGCAAGAGCATTCCTGCCAACAGGGCACTCATTGAGTCCAACGTCAAGCGAGCAGCCATTGTAGCACGGGAACTCGCCATTCTAGAAGCAAAGCAACAAGAAGCCCAAGGGTGAGCCAGCACTCTGGTAGCTCAATAGTAAACTGGCGCTGATGTAAGTATCCTAGACGTACTTCTTCTTACTTCACACCCGTTCAGTCCAGCCCGGCCTCTACCGCTCAAGAGCGGCTGCACAATGCATCTCTATCGCCTTCTGAGCCTCCTTCTACACCTGCTACCAGTATCTCGTCTCAGTCCGAACAACAGCAAGCTGCCGACATCATTGTGGCAGGCGCTCTCGCAGTAGACTTTTCATGTGATTTTGCTCCTTTAACACCTTCAGCCAGTCAGATAGATCCACTACCACATACGTCAAACCCTGCTGTTATTACCCAAACACTTGGAGGTGTAGCTCACAATATTGCCAAAGCTTCTCATCTGCTCGGCTCGTCCGTTCGATTGCACAGCGCTGTGGGTGACGATCTAAGTGGCCGCGCAGCCGTCAGCCAACTACAAGAAGAAGGCATGTCAATCTCTGGCATTGAGACGATGCCTGCACCTTCCAGGACGGCACAATATGTTGCAATTAACAATACAAACAAGGATCTTGCCATGGCCATGGCAGACATGTCTATCTTAGAGACTATACCCAACGACACCATTCGCCAGCTAGCCAACACCGTGTTCGATGACCTCTCCAGCCCACCCAAAGCTTTTGTCGCAGATGCAAATTGGTCCTCAGCCGCCTTGCATACCTGGCTCCAAACTGCTCGTCAAGCAAACACAATCACTATCTTTGAGCCAGTCTCTACCGCTAAAGCGTTACGAATCTTTCCGCAAAAAGCTGCCCCCACTGTTTTCCCCATCCCTCTCGTAGACATCACAACACCAAACACGTACGAACTCAGTGCTCTGCACGACCACGCACACCAGTCCGGCTACTTTGACAGTCCTGAGTGGTTTAGTGTCATCGACGCACTGGGTATTCCCAATGGCGGCCTCCGTGTCCCCCTGGCCGTCACTGTAGGCAGTGACGTAGTCGACCAAGGCATCCCCCAGCAAGCGATCAAGCTGCTTCCTTTCTTCCCCACTATATTGACCAAACTCGGACCTCAAGGCGTCCTCATGACCAAACTTCTTGCCGCTGACGCACCCGAACTACACTCTGAGGCTGAGCGCCAGTTTGTACTCGCACGCAACAGTGCGCCGTCCAGTGCGCCAAATGCGCAATCAAGTGTTGCAGGGCTGTATGTGAGACTGTTCCCTGTGGAAAAGGTCCTCTCGCCCGAAGAAGTAGTTAGTGTAAATGGCATCGGAGATACGTTTTGCGGGGCTCTGGCCCACGGTCTTAGCCAGGGTAGGCGAGTCCAAGACGTGGTAGGTTTTGCACAGAGAGCTGCAGCATTGAGTCTGAAGAGTCGCGAGGCAGTTAGCGGCGAGTTGAAAGGATTGAGAGGTTCACTGGCAAATATTTGATCTCCACTTGCTCATTATTTTACTACAAAAGGGATGAAAGTATAGCAGACTCTGTATTTATATGTATGTTATTCGTTGAAAAAACCGTGTTGTTCCGTTGGTACTCCAAGTCCCTAAGAATATCATGTCATTTCCACCTAATCCGTAGGATTCATGACACGCACATACACGTTCAAGGAATAAGAATGAACTACATGCTTCCTCTCTTTCTCGCACTCTCTTACTATCACACACATACACAGCATACACACAGAAAAGCCGCAGATGACCAAAAGTTTAACAGAAAAAAAAAGAGGTGTACACACAGACAGACAGATAGGCATGGTAGCATAGA